ACCAGGATGAGGAGGTAGATGAAGCATTCTACAAGCAGCTGGCAGAATTCTCACTATCAATAGCCCTTGTTCCCATGGAGGACTTGAACTTACTGGACATCTGCTGGAAATATAGCACAGCAGAGAAGAAACAGTCTAGGAGGTTCCTGGAGTCTGTGGAAGAGAACTTCCTGACAAAGCTGGTAAGTAAGCCTAGCAGGGGAGGTGCCCTGCTTGACCTGCTCTTTACAGAGAAGGACTGGTGGGAGAGGTGGTGGTCAGATGATACAGTTCTTGATTTTTGGTGTGGTAAGGAGCAAAACCACTACCATGGACTTCCAGAGGGCAGACTTTGGCCTTTTCAGGACACTGGTTGACAGAGTCCCTTGGGAGACAGTCCTGAAGGGCTTCCTTCAAGAAGGAAGTTAAGGCGTGGGAGCAGGCTGTCCTCATGTGCTGCAAAATGAAGCAGTGAGGAAAACGACCGGCCTGGCTGAACAGGAAGGTTTTGCTGGGACTCAGGAGAGAAGACAGAAAAAAAAAAAGACAAGAAAAAAAAGAGTTTACTGCTTTTGGAAGAAGGGTCAGGCATCTCCGGAAGAGTACAGGGATCTTGTTAGGTCATGCAGAATGAAAATTAGGAAGGCAAAAGCCCAGCTAGACCTCAATCTGGCCACCATTGTAAGACATAACAAAAGATGTTTTTACAAATACATTAACAACAAAAAGATAGCCAAGGACAATCTCCATCCTTTATAAGATGTAGAGGGGAACACTGCCACAAAGCGTGAGAAAAAGGCTCAGGCACTTAATGCCTTCTTTGCCTCAGTCTTTAACAGTCAGACCAGTTATCCCCAGGGTATTCAGCCCCATGAGCTGAAAAACAGGGATGGAGAGCAGAATAAACCCCCCCCATAATGCAGGAGGAAGCAGTCTTTGACCTGTTGCACCACCTGGACACTCACAAGACTTATGAGGCCAGATGGGATCCACCCGAGAATACTGAGGGAGCTGGCAGAGGAACTTGCCAAGCCATTCTCCATCCTTTATCAGCAGTCCCAGTTAACAGGGGAGTTCCCAGATGAGTGGAGGTTAGGAAATGTGATACCCATCTACAAGAAGGGCTGGAAGGAGGATCCAGGTAACTACAGGCCTGACAGCCTGACCTCAGTACCGGGGAAGATCATGGAGCAGTTCATCCTGAGTGTGCTCACCAGGCACGTGCAGGACAACCAGGAGATCAGGCCCAGCCAGCATGGGTTCGTGAAAGGCAGGCCCTGCCTGACCAACCTGATTTCCTTCTATGACCAGGTGACCCATCTGAGGGAAAGGCTGTGGATGTTGTCTACCTGGACTTCAGCAAAGCCTTCAACACAGTCTCCCACAGCATTCTCCTGGAGAAACAGGAGGCTCATGGC